CGTTTCTCATTTGTTTAACATCTTTTTGAAGACCAGCAACAATATGAACTAATTCTTTCATTCCATCAGGAACTTTCATAGTTCTATTATATGCACCCTTTTTTTGTTCCTTATTTTAATGGAACCTGTAGAAGATTTGCCATTTCTGTCATGTTTAATTATAAATAAAAAATAAAAATTAATTATAAAAAGTTAATCAAATTTAACACTTCCTTTATTTAAATCAACTATTATTTTTCCATGTTCACCTAATTGCTGATATTGTGTGTAAAGTTCATTAATGCTCATTGGTAAATTCACTTGATAAAGCATAACGTTCAACTGTTGACGACTAAACCCACTGAAAATGAAAAAGGGTTGATAGATTTGATTTAATGTTTGTGCTTAATGCTTTGAAGTATTGAACAGCCATAAAGAATGAACACTGAATGTGTCGACATTGAGTTAATAACTGATTAAAATATGATTTCTCATTTGTTATTAGTTTTGATTTCACTGCATCATCTAGAAAAATGAGTGAATGCAAAAATTCTCTATCAAAATTTGAAATAGAAAGTGTTTCAAATAATTCATCCCGTTGTTTATCAATAATTTTATCCTCTAATCCTTGCTTCTTGATTGTATTATATAATTCTTTATACATTAAAAAGTTTTTTAAATAATCTTCTGCTTCTTCTTGTGATAAATAAATAATTGGAATTTTGATTAAATGCTTTAAAGATTCAAATGTATCATCTGAAGGTGAACCTGAACGGTTGATATAAATTAACACATGTGAATAGGGGGAAGTGTTAGCAATAATGATAATTTGTTTTAATATCGTTAATGTTTTACCTTTATTCTGTTTACCAATTGCTGCAGTGATTGAATTTAAGTAACATTCAGAATATGGAATTTTCATTAATTTTTCCTTAGATAGAGCATTTCTATTATCACTCAATGCTTCATTAATCATATTATCTACGTATCTATTATATACTCCCGCTAATTCTTCATAAGGGGTGGATGAATTTAAATCCATTTAATCAAAAATAAATTTATAATTTTAAACATTTCTATTCATCAATATTTCATCATATGAACTTCTATACTGTGGTGGTGTACCTGTTGGATGATATTTCAAACCTTCGTCCGGTGTCCATGTCCAATATGTAGTCCTAGTAAACCAAACCTGAGGAGGATTTGTCACCTTTGAACAGTAAGTGTCATTTTCACCCTGAATGATTGGATAAGCTTTCACTTGTACTGTAACTTGTGAGTTGAAAGTTTCTAATCCATCAAAGAATATACCCCGCTCCATCACGTTGAACTGGAATAGTGCATAAGAATGAAGTTTGGTCTTTCCATGTTCTAGCTAATGGTGTGCCATCATCTGCATTCAGTGGTCTAGTTAATGAGTCCTCGTATTCTTCTGTGCATTCATTCACTCCATCTAAATCAGAAGCTTGAAGCATACGTGTAAAGAATATGTCGCCCACTGTGGTCATCGCTTGATCGGGGAAGTTTCTGGAATCTATAGTGACCTGAAGACCTCGAAGCATTGGATTTTCTAAAACCGTTCTTTGCATTGCATTCTTCGGAAATGTTAACACAACATCTGTAACATTATGAAGAGCGTATGAGAAATCTGAGCTAATACCTTCAGGAGTGATGCAACCTCCATTTAGTGAACGAACGTCAATATGTTGAGCTGGAATCATGAATGGATCTTCCTTACTAAATAAACGTGGTATTGCTTTAACTGATTCTTCAATTAAACCGTATCCTGGTGTAATGCATTTATCCTCTAAAACTTCCATCTTTGTGCATGAAATAATAACGTCATCAACTGTTGCGTCAGCAGATGTAGCGGCTAAGCTTGTAATTAATTTGGCAGGAAGTCCGATTTGTTGGAATTTGCGATCATATTTATAAACATGATTCATAATCTTTTCATAATTTTCATCAGTTATCTTTTCATAAACGTAATTTTGTAAATCAGCAACTCTTAACGGGTCAACCTGACAAAATACTAAAGTATCCCTGAAAACATAATATTTAAGAATGATTTCACCAAATGATTTAGGATAATCATCGAACGCCTGAAATGCTAACAAATCATTTACCGGAATAATCATATCAAAAGTGACATCAACTTCTTCATTTGCTTTCTTGAAAACTTCTGAAGGGTCAATATATTTACCACATACTGAGTTATCATATTTTTGAACATTATTATATAACGAATGAACAAACTTTTTAACTTTCCTTTCTGATTTTGGTTTATATGTTGCAAATGCGAAAGATTCACGGGCGCAATCCATCTGAAGATAACCGGCATCACCTCTTTCGGTTTCTACTTCTAATTGTTTAAAGCTTTGATTTGATGATTTGTAACCAACGAATAAACGCATGCATTTAAAAGCGGCATCACATGTGAAAGCTTTATTTGAAACTAGAGTTGCTTTAACTTTGCGTTTAATATATGTGTCACCTAATTGGTTCACATCATGAGCTGGATTTGTAATTCTTAAATGAGTTTGTTTATCATCAAAATATGGAGCATCAGAGTCATAGCATGAACTTTCAAGTTCTCTATAATATCTTCTACCGTCATTCTTTGCGAATATTTCATTTATCTTTTCGAATGAATGAAACACATTTCCATTAATCGGTTTAGTGTTTGGCACCAAATAGTTAGTCGTCATTTATTAATAAATAAAAAATCAAAATTAAAAGATGAAAATGAATTTTTAATTTTAATGAAATAATCAACTATGGCTGCAGGTATATTTAAGAAACTGTGGGATAGAGTAAAAAGAGGAGCGAGTAAAGTTTGGGAAACATTGAAGAAGGGAGCAAATTGGATATTTAAGAATAAAGAAGCAATTAGTGACGTTGCTGAATCAATAACACCAAAAGCTGCCCCAATAAGAGAAGTTTTAAATAAAGGAGAAAAAGTTTATCAAAGACTACAACCGATACTAAGATAAAAATAATATTTATTTATTTTTCCACTATCTACCTCCTATTTTATTAAGTATTCCTTCAGCTATTCCACCAATTGCGTTACCCGCTTGTGCTCCCATCGCCGGATTACCTGCTTTAGTACCTAATACTCCACCTATGATAGTTCCTGCCGTTTTCGCTACTGGTGCCAAAAAGTTTGCAATGGGTTTAATAATCTTTTTATGAACCCAACCCGCAGCTTTCTTAATTCCATCCCATAATTTTTTAAAGAATCCTGCCGCCATTTCTGATTTAATATTAATTAAAAAAATATATTTCATCACTTATATTCTAATTTTTATTTAATGATAAATGAAACCGATTTTAAAAATAAATGAAAGTGAAAATGTTCAACAAAAAATAAACGTTGTTAAACCAATTACTGAAATAAAAATTTTTTCATCTGTTGAAGAATTTAATGACTATTATGCTAATAATAAAAAATTATTTGAAGAATTGACAACATGTAAATTGAATAAAATGTTTAAAGTTGATGGATTCAAAATTTCAAAAATAAAGGGGGTGGTTAGTTTGAAATCTATTCCTCAATCAAGAATCACCTCATTAATGAAAATAGATGATTTAACAAAAAGAATAGAAGAGATTGAAGAAAGAATGAATCAAATAATTGATTTCATAAATTCAAATAATCATTAGTTTCTTCATCATTACCATTACTCTTTCAACTCTATCTTTTGATAGTCTTGCGTTTAATTTTTTCTGAAGTTTTAATCATTAATCTACAAAGAACTTTAGTGAGGTGGTTTTGTTGTTTAAACCATTTATCCGGAATTAATTCCCAAATGCAAAAGCAATAGGTTTAATATTAAACTTACCTTTATAAACGTCTACTTGTTTAACCTGGGTGAGAATTGGTGAAAGTTTATCCATTAATTGATTCACAGTCACGAATTTTGATTCACTCATTTCATACAAAATAAAAAAATAAATTATTCAAAAATGTAAGACATGAATTTTTAAAGTTTATTTTTTATTCATGAAAATAATTATTTCTAATTTCTTTTACTCTCTCGTATATACTAGATTTGAAGAATTCGGAACATTTCCCATAATCTCCTAAATGTTTTCTTATCCCTAACGTGTGCCAGTTATTATATGAAACTGAATAAACTTTATCTTTATCTTTACACCTTTCATCATTACCAATATATTTATATCTCAGTTTTGATTTAGCGTTTTCATATTCATTAGCGTTTAATAATTCGCAGTCTTCCTTTTTAAATTGATGTTTTATGTATTCAGGATTTAATACTCTACGTTTATATGCTCCTAACTTAGTTCTAAAGGTTTTTCTACAAAATTTAGGAATTCCATCCTCTTTAATGTCATCAATGATTTCCATTTCATTATTTTCAATTTCTTCTTCTCGTTTATGAGGTCTTTGATTATGACTCCATTGATTCCATGAAATTAAATATTCTTTATCATTATATTTATACCTCATTAGCTTATTTTGGCTTTCATATTCATTTAATAATTCACAATCTTCATTTTTAAATTGAAGTTTAACCCATTCAGGATTTAAACAATGTTTAATTAATCGCGGAATATCTGACATCATCTATATATAGCTTCTTTTATAAAAGATAAAAAATAAATTATTTTAAAATTAATGTTAATTTTTTAATGATTTATAAATAAATATATTTTAATGCATTGTCTATATATAGATGTAACAAAAAAAGTCACTAAACCCTTCATATCCTACTACTAATATTGAACATAATTCAATTTGCCGCTGTTCATTGAAAATCTATCAATTATTGATTCATTTTTTCAGGTTTTATACAAATAAGTTGATAAATGAAACATGAACCATTTGATAAGTTGCAATTTCAAGATCCTCTTTTAAAAAACATTGGAAGAGGAACCAAAAAATTGATTTATTAATAAAGCAAATGACTCGTGTCAGTGTTAAATGTAAAATAAAAATATGAAATTGAGAAAAATCATAGAATATTTTGACTACTTTCTCTCAATTTTAAATTTTACTAAAACCATTCATCTCCAGGTCTTAAAATTCTTTTGCGCATTACCCTGATAGGCTTTCTTGGACTGGACATGGTAGTCGCATTGTTTTGGTCTCTCTTCAATACTTCTATTGCTTTTTTGTTATTCCTTGAAATTGCTAATGCGAGTGGAGTTTCTTTTCTGTTATTTTCATGATTCTTTTCGATGTCCTTTTGTTGGAGAAGGAGTTCGCAGATATCAGCATGGTCATTTGCTGCTGCGAAGTGCAATGGTGTCCAATCTTCTGTTGTTTTAGAATTAACATCGATATATTTTAATGCATATTTGACACCTTCGAGATTTCCATTTTCGCAGAATTTGTGGAGTACTGTATTATTAAAATTATTAGTATCTCTTATTTTGGCACCGTTATGCTTAAGAGCTTGAACTAAAGCAAGGTTTCCATTATCTGCTGCACTAATTATGATATTATCGCCAAATGAGTTCTTGACCCTGCAGTATCCTTCTTCAATTGATTGTTTTAATGTATTTTCATCCCCTTCTTGAGCTGCGTATTCGAGAATTTTGTAAATTTTGAAAAAGTCTTCTTCTGTTTTACGGCATTGGTGTAGGAGATTCATTTCATAATCACACTGTATTAACTTCTTCATATCTGTAAAGAGAGGTAATTGTAAAAATGCAGCAAATGCATCTAAAATTAATAAAACATCGGAAATATCTGTGCCCAAGTTCACTTTTATGACTTTTATCATCGTCATTATATCTTCTTCCATGAAAAAGTTCTTTAACTTTTTGAGAATAATATTAAATTGCTCTCCTGAGAGTTTTGCTAGGCTCAAGATTTTGCAAAAGTCGTATCTTGTACGCAATTCATAAAAATCGTCGTTCTGATACCAAGCTTCAATGTTTTTAGCATAGTATTCCAAGTCAATACTCATTTTTCTAATTTACGACTTTGCCCAGAAATCTTTTTATCTTTGAATTTGAAGATTTGCAAAGTCTGATGTTTTTTAAGCAAAGTTAGATTCATCATATTGTAATTTTGCAAAAATTTGTAAATTCTTGAAGAATTTCACAGGAAAAAAAAATTAGTATCATTGCCACTGTTTGCAGATGCTCAATTTCTTGCACTTTTGAATGCTTGTTTCATATGATATAGTGTATTTTTCTGTGAATAATCCTTATTGCGATACAAAATTTATTATTTGTACCTCTAACTTCCTAAAATTTAAAAACAAGTCGGGAAAAAGGATGTGACGGCTAAAAATTTACTTTTGAAGAAAGATTACTAATTTTCATTTTATTTTCTACTACATGGAAGAAAATTAGTTAGCCAATTGATTTTAAAACAAGGCGTTACTTATTGAAGATTCAATGATTTGATCTAAAACTTATCTTAGAAAATCATCTCATTTCTATCTTGACAACAAGTAGGTTTAATCATGAGATTATGCTGTCAATAGTTGATTTTCATTTTAAAAAATATGATAAATTTAGAAACAAACAAAAAAAATTTAGAAAATTTCAAAAAAACAAAAAATAGTCAAAAGTAAACAAAATTGACTTAATATCCTTCTAATGGCATTGCGAGCCTCTCATTCATCATTGCATTCATATCAGATAAGATTGTATTATCTGATAAATTCATAAATGGCATTAAAATCGAAGACAAATGAGTAAATATTGAAGAAAACTCTTCCGCGCACATTCCTTCTGCTACAACTTCCACATATCTTGCGTTGGCCCTAAAGAAAGACAAAATTCGCAAAATATGGTTTCCTCTTCTTGCAACAATGGAATTTATATCTGTATGTAGCCAGTCGAAGTCCGTCTCCCTTACGAAAACCTGCATCTGGTACGCAATACTCTCTAAATTCGCTGAAATCCGACCAATGACTCTTCTTTGTTTCAAAAGTGACACTTTATCGTCTTCGATCAAAAAGCTCTCGTATGGACTTCCTATCGGGTGAGCCGCCGGTATCGCTGCATCCCAGAGGATCGACTCTTTACCGCTACGTATTATTTCGGCGAATGCTTTGATTCTTGATGAGCCATCTGAATATAATGTTTTAATTTCGCTGTCTGGGAATCCTATTGACTGTAAAGTATCTCTTTCGTACTCTGAAGCTTCGAACGGACTTGGTAAACAAGCCATCGGTAAAGGTGATGGTAAAATGTAATCATCGGGAAGATGATGACGAAAAAGTGGGTGTATTTTAATGTCTTTGATGGTAATTCGATTCTGTGGATTAGGAGTAAGTATTCTGTAGATGAGATCGTCTGCATCAGGAGAGATGTTCGGAGGTACAAAATTCGCCATTCTGATGTTTTGTATCAATTCCTGCATGCTGTTACCTTGAAATGGCGTGGTCTTGGTAAGCATCATGTAGAGAATAACTCCGGCGCTCCATATATCTGCAATCCTGCCGTCATACGTAGAATCATAAGTAACTTCAGGAGCTGTGTAATGTGGAGACCCGCAATACGTTGAAGCAATGTTGTTGGGCATCCAGCATGCAAGACCGAAGTCGGCAATTGCAAGAGTTTCAGGATCGATCAGTAATAAATTTTCAAGTTTCAAATCTCTGTGGCAAATGCTTTTATTATGTAAATATTCCAGCCCATAAATGATTTGCCTGAAAAATGCAATCGATTGATCGTAGTTTAACGACATAACAATGTCAAATAAAGAACCATATTGTGCTAATTGCTCAACAAGGAAGATATATTCGTTATTTTCGAAAACACTCTCTAAGTGAAGTAAGTTAGGATGATTCAGAAGGCGCATAATAGCTATTTCTCGCTTCATATTTGATAATACAACAGGTTTATTTGCGATTATTGACTTTTTCACCATTTTGATAGCAAGAGTCTTATTTGTGTTCTTATTAACAGCGATTTTTACCTTTCCTGTAGATCCCTCGCCAATCGTCTGACCAAAAATATAGTCAGAGATTGATTCTTGCATTTTAAGTACAAAGGTGACAAAATTTTGAATGATCACATAAAGATATTGTAATTAGAAAAATATTGTATGGTAATAGATGATTGGGAAAATGTATTTAGATAATTGAAAAATGACAGAATAAATTGAATGCAGAATTAGGGGAAGAAAAAAATATTTAATAAAAAATGTAAAGTAAATTATTTCCATATATAATTGCAATAAACATTTCAAAACTTTTATCGAACTTTGAATAATATTTTATATTAAAGATACCTCCAATAGAAATTAAAATGTAAAGCACTGCTAGTGTAGTGGTTATCATGAGAGCCTTCCAAGCTTTTGATCCGGGTTCGATTCCCGGGCAGTGCAATTGTTTTTTTTCGTCCTCGTCGGTAATTTTTTTTTGTTTGTTTGTCTTTTTAATATTGTTTGGGATCTTAAATGGTAATTCGCTTGGTTCCAAAAAATCAAAGCATTTCAAGCAGAACCAAACAATCTGAAATTTAAATTCATAATTTTGAAACAGGTTCATATTTTGGTTGCTTGATTGTTTATTTGATGGGTATATGTCATTTGTGTATTTTTTTATATTGTGATTGATTTACTGTAGATATATCAGGATATGATTATATTTAAGGGATGTAAAAAGAAATATGAATCAATTTGAGGTAGACTTTTCGTATACAATCTGTTTAGGATGAAGAAATAAATGCAAGATAAAAAGATGAAATAGAAAAAATAGAACGATTATTGTTCTTGATAGAGCATTTAAATATTATTTGGTTATTCAATCCGCAACCATCTGGTGGATAATGATGTAATCTAAGGTTTAAAGAGTTAACATTGTTTGCCATTTTAAAAGTAATTCCTCCACTTAAAGTTGGATGTAGTGTTGATGCTGAGGAATCGAAAAGGCAGCGGTTTAATGATATCGAAGAAGGATTAGCATAAATAGCAAATAAATGAGGACTGATATTTTTCAAAAAACAACTTTCTTCAATTGAAAGAGTGCATACCCACGAGAGCACAACACCAAATATGCTTGAATTTGGTGTTGTATTGTTGAGTATGTTACAATGGTCAATTTTCTGAGATAACTGAGCATGTTGAATGATTCCCCTTTCTGATGATGAGCATCTGCTTATGGTGGAATAATTACATATACCATTAGATCGTGGATTTATAATTGTATAAGCAGAATACCTTTCGCAATTACAAACAGAAAAGTTAAGTCCAGAAATGAGTAAATCACCTTCTTGAAAAAAAACAGAGTATCCATATCCTTTATTTTCTGCAATTGAAGAGTGAAATATTTGGCATTTATTAACTGAATTTTCTTTTGGATAAATGCAACAATGAGATCCGGCAAAAGAATTAAATGAAGACGAGCAGTTATAGCTGCATACAAAGTCTTGAATGCAGTGTCCCATGTTTAAGTATATAGCTCCACCTTGTTGGCTTGAAAACGAATTTATAAAATTGCATAGGATAACTAGGAGTTTTGTAGTTTCTGATCCACCAATGCGGATAGATCCACCATCTGATAAATCAAAGAATAAAGCAATGTATGTAAGTACGTTATTTGGTTGAGTTAAATTGATAAATTTGTTTTCATGATAAATCTCAGATGGAGTGTCATTGTTGAAGTATCTATTAAATAATTCTGCCAAAATTCATGTAATCAATTACAAGTAATGAAAGTAATGTTCACTCATGAAATGAACCTTACTTAAAATGAGCAACCACAGTAAAGGAAAATTGCTAAAATTGGTCAAAAAAGAGATCTTAAATAGTGTTGTTATCTTATTTATTAGCTGTCACAAAATCAGTTCAATTTGAAGACATTGTGTTAATTCTTGTTCCAGTACTATAATATAGTAAACAAAATACAGGTTTTAATCATGTGTATCTTCTTTTTAAATATGAAATAAACAATAAAATTAAAATTTGAAAGTTATTTCTCTCGATTAATTGGTTCTTGGTAAGATTCAAACTCATAAGTCTCTTCATCATAGAGGACTGATACTAAAGCCATTCGTGCCTTATCATATTCTGCTTCAGTTGTATTGAGCAATGAATAAATGTTTTCATTGATTGCTCTTATAAATATTGGTGGAAGGTAATGGCACTTTGCGTGGAAATTTTGCAAAATTAAGTTCATTAAAGAGTCAGATGTAAAATACCAATTGGCCATTGGTAAAAAGGAATATTGTTTAAGAGAATCAGCAATAAATGTTGATATTTGATCTGGAAGTATGTTCTTATTTTCAATCTTTTGATTAATCACTGCACCTAATTCAGCATTTGGGAACTTATAGGAGCAAATCAACTTCATATTTTTGATCAGTGATGGATCTAATTTTTTTTCATCTTCTGTATACAATATGTGATATCCAAATGGTGAATCCAATAAAATTACGGACATAAAATGGAATTTGAAAATTCGTAAAATTGTATATTATGTTATTATATTAGTGGTTTTTGAGTCGTTGTTGAATGAAAGTTGTACCTTACAAAAAATATTTGAGATTAGTAGTATATGTGGAAGGGTTGTGTGACTTTTTTTGTTACGTCTATATATAGATGAAGGTATATTTTCACATCTTCTATATATAGATGATATAAAATTTTTTCTTACGTTTTTTAAGTCATGAATTCGTAAGAAAGCGCGACATTATTAAATAAATTAGTAATAAATATTTATAAACCATTAAAAAAAATTAACATTAATTTTAAACATAATTTAATTTTTTATCTTTTATAAAAGAAGCTATATATAGATGATGTCAGATATTCCGCGATTAATTAAACATTGTTTAAATCCTGAATGGGTTAAACTTCAATTTAAAAATGAAGATTGTGAATTATTAAATGAATATGAAAGCCAAAATAAGCTAATGAGGTATAAATATAATGATAAAGAATATTTAGTTTCATGGAATCAATGGAGTCATAATCAAAGACCTCATAAACGAGAAGAAGAAATTGAAAATAATGAAATGGAAATCATTGATGGCATTAAAGAGGAAGGAATTCCTAAATCAAAGCAGATAAAATTAAAACTAAGTTAAATTTATTTTTTTATTTTTTATTTTATAATAAATGAGTATAACAACTAATTCATTGAAATCTTTAAAGTTCACTAATTCAGAATTAGAAAATATTTTAGAAAATATTGGAGACGGTTCTTATCCAACATATATGCAGAATGTGAAAGAGTTTTCCAGATTGTTGAATGAATTTAAATATAACGGACCAATTACTAAAAAGGCTATAATGAGATATTTATATCCCAAAAAAGTTGAAAAACAGGAGAATATTCCTCTTTATGGTCCAGAGGACCCGGGCTCAGAGAGCCTTGAAACACCTCCTGAATATTTTGAAGAAAAAATTAAACAAGATGAATATTATAACGATGAGATTGAGAAATTGGAACAATTAAGAAATGAAATAGATGAAAAAATTAAGGAATTGAGAAATGCTGAGAATGAAGTAGAGGGTTTAATGAATATCCCAGCTTCAGAATCAGAAGTTCAAAAATCACATGAGGAAAGATATAAAAATTACTTTTTGGAATCTACTAAAAATTTATTAGATGGTGATATTGACGAAACACTTTCAGAAGAAGGCACAAAATTTATTCATAAACATAAGTTACAATTTATTGACGATGGAGATTATCCATGTATATTACTTTCACCTCCTCTTGATTCTGAAAAATTCAAAAAAGCACTGAAAAATGTAACATATGCAACAAATACGATTAAGAAAGAAGACCATGATATTTACACAAATTATTATTTAAATAAATGTACAGGTGTTGATAAAGTTTTTGATTTATTAGATAAAATATCAAAAGAAACCATTGGAACATATAAAATTTTGTGTGATTGTGGTTTCATTGTTGAAGATACTAATAATGTTTCATATGAAAGAACAGCACCGAAGGAAGACGAAGTGGAAAGGTCTATACCATTCGTTATTAAGAACATAAAAGATATGAAAACTTATAAACATTATATTTATTCATTTATTTCAGAAAAAATGGAAGCAACCCATAAAACATCTTCTCATCATTTTATAGCTATTCATACATTCCTTTTCAAAGTTGTGAAATTAAATAAGACAGGAATTAGATTTAATGTATCAGGGTACGCATTCTTGAGTAAATTAAAATGTATTCGTCACGTCGCAGATGATAAAAATTTATGTGTTCTTAATTCATTTTATGGGCTTTAACCCTGGACTCTCTGAGTCTCGGACTTTAAAAAAATAAACTTTATTTTTATTTTTTAATTTTTATTCTTACATAAATGAACAAAAATGGAACAGCTAAAATGAATGATAATCAAATAAGAGCAGAAGGTAGAAGGTTATTTAAACGCTTCTATAACATTCCTGATGGTGTTAATCCTAAAACTCGTAGAAGTTATTTAAATGAAGCCATAGATGCATATGAAGGATTTGACATCTCATCAGAAAGTGAGAGATTAGCGAGAATGTTAAATGTTAATATTGATTTTTATTATTGTGATCCTCAACCAGAAGATGTGGACATAAATAAGGTAGACTTTCCATTAGTGGAATCAATAATGATAGATCCAGAATTTGAAACAGTAAATATTTTATTAACACAGAGTCCATGTGGAAAACTTCACGCTGACAGAATAACAGACGTTGAAGCACTCACCGGCTATAAAGTTTGTCCATATTGTAAAGAAGAAGTGTATTCTATCCGCGATGATCCAGAAAGGAAAAACCAAAGAAGATTTTTAAAGCATTGTGAGAAATGTAAAGAAAATAATGGGAGATTAATTCAAGACGTTCAATTGCAAAAGACCCAGCAACCATATGCACCACATATTACGAAACAGAAGATATATCAGTGGTTATTAGCTCACAATTTGCAGGAATATTATCAACCGACAAGATATTATATTACTTTTGACTTTGAAACATTAGAGACTAAAGAAGAATTACAACTTTCTGAGTGTGCAACTTTGAACGCTTACTTAAAACCATTCATGGTATCATCAACGGTTAAATTAAACGATAAAACATATACGAGGAATTTTTGCTTAACATCAAGTGATTCTTCATCTCTGATTGGATTGAATTTTTATTTTCAACCTGTTCATTAGTTGCTAAATCAAATATTGAACAATATGAAGAATTAATGAAGCCACAAACGGCGGGGACTTTGTCTCATACATTAAATGAAAAACAGAAGGAAGCATTTAAAGAACTTCTAGATGAGGAATTCAATAAAGTGAATATCATAGGTTTTAATTCGGGAAAGTTTGATTTAAATTTAATTCTTCGTGATTTAAATACTGCAAAATGGAAAATAAAATCAATGCTGGGTTCATCTTCACAATTTAAGCAAATCATTGTAAAGAAAACAAACTGTCCATATGAATTAAGATTTATTGACATCAGAAATTATATAGCGGGTGGGACATTAGACCAATTCACTCAAGATTTCGGAAACAATAAATCACGTGTTAAATCCTTTTTCCCTTATCAATTCATCACATGGGAAAATTACGAAGAAGAATTATATAAAAAGGAACCATTCACTCAAGATTCATTTTATTCAGCATTAACCCAAGAAACTATATCAGATAGTGATTATCAAATATATCTCAATGATGCTAAAAATTTTAAGAATAGATTAGAATATTTTATTCATTATTGCAATAAAGATGTTGAAATTATGATTGACCCAATTGATAAAATTATCGAAGAAACATTTGTTTATAAAATTGACATGCTTCATAATCTTTCTTTATCATCGAATGCATCAATGATTCGTTACGCGTTAGCATATAAGAACTTCAATCCTAACGAAACATATCCAGAAGAAGAAAATGTGGAATCAAGTTTTGAATTAACGAAAAAGTATTGGAAATATAAAATTGAATCATATAAGAAACAAGATGAAAAAGCAGAAAGGGATACTAAAAACAATGTTTCAATGGATGACTATCAATACTATCACGATTTAATCCTTTCATCTAAATGCAAAATGTGTGGTAAAGCGTTTACATATGCAAATAAACCAACATTGGATAGAATCGATAATGAAAAACCACATACCAAAGAAAATTGTCAGTTAATGTGTTGTTATTGCAATGTCGTAAAATCAAATAAAGATGAAGATGTTCAACGTTTAAGAATCAATTTAAGAAATTATGCATTAAAAAATAATTTACCAATGACTTTAGATTCAGTTGAAGCTTATCACATTCTCCGTAATGGAATTACTGGTGGTCTATCAAATGTTCAACATCGTGTTAATCTTAAAGGAATCACGCACATTAATAAACTTTCATATAATCCAGAAACTAAAACTGTATCAAATGAGGACACCACCAACATTATGACTCATTTCGTTGGAGTTGACTTTAATTCATTATATCCTTCATCATTTTCATCTAATCCTCATGATTTCATTCAATATACTGACCATAAAATGTATATGCCGGGAAGATTGAATGATGTTATCATTTGTGATACAGCAACAAAGAAAGCAAAAGCACTGGGAATTATTAAGAAGAAAAATACTTTATTCGTGGCTGAAGTAAAGGGTCACATTGATGAAAAATACATTAATGATTACATAAACTTTTTACCGATAATAAGAAACTTAGATATTATCACAGATGAAAAAACAATTGGCAGTTTTATGTATAATTACATGAAATCAAACAATTTACCAGTTGACCAGAAACAGAGGAAATTAACTCAGTTAGCATCAACACACAACCAATATCAACCATTTTCTTCTTATTATCTATGGTATCTAATCGACAGATTTCATTTTATCATTGATGACATTCAATCAATTTTAACATTTACTAAAAACACTTGTTTTAATGAATTTGCGAACAAATTTATGAACGAAAGACAAAAGGCTGAATTAGAAGGAAATAAAGGAAAAAGTTTATTTTGCAAGATTTCACTTAATGGATCATATGGTTACGATGCAATGAATACACAAAATTACGCAAAGACTAAAATAATGAATGCACAGAAGTCACGCGTTGCATGTATGTCAAATAAGTTTAAAAACATAAGAGAAATAGGAGAGGATACATATCAAGTGATGCTCAAAGATAGATTTTATAGATGTGATACATGTTTACAAGAGGCATTCTTCACTTTAGATAATGCTAAATACTGGTATTTGGTTTTCATTTATGATTTTATGTATAAATGCATGAATGTTAATCGTTTTCATTTCATTGAAGGTGATACTGATTCATCTTATTGGGCAATCGCTGGTGATCCAAATCTTCCTAACACTCAAGCATTTCAAGCAATTGTTACCGATAAACAATTTTATGATAAAAACATTTTCAAATTCGCACCATTTGATTTCTTCTGTTTTGATGAGAAATTTAAACCTAAATTAAAGAATAAAGCTGAAGAAAAAGCACATGAGAAGAAGTTATTGGGTTTAGCAATTGAGAAACAAGGTGATAACATGGTTGCTTTATGTCCTAAGTGTTATACATCATTCAATGGTTCAATTGATGGAAGTGATTTTAAAAAGATTGCACAAAAAATGAAAGGTGTTAGTTTACGACAAAATAAACAATTAACACCTAAAAATTATTTGGATATAATAAATGATAAAGTGATATTTGATGGTCAGAATATTAATTTACAACTTAAAAACGGGTCAATGACTCGCTTAACAATCGGTAAGACTGCATTAACAGGAGCACACACTAAGGCTGTATGTTGTGAAAATGGATGTTGTATGCCATTTATTTAATAAAATACCACAGAAGAGACAAAGAGGTGGGCACCCTTAAAACATTTATTTTATTTTTATATAAATGGATAACGTACATTTAAAAATTTTAATTGATGATTTAGTATTTAATCAAAATTTTCTTGATTATTATGAATTAAAATCATATCTCCAAAAATATGATAACAATATAACGGGTGATGATATGGAATATTATTATCCATATTATAAAAATGAAATTTTGAAATATCATAATAAAATAATTTCTAAAATTAAAGACAAAATTAAAAATAATGAATATATAAAGGGAAAAACTAAATCACAGCTTAAACAGTTGAAAGATTTCAAAAATAAAGTATTAACAGAAGAAGATATTGATGAATTATATAATTTATATAATCCTGAGCCACAAAAACCAAAGCCAAAGGAACAAAAACAAAAGGAACAAAACACCCAGGCCCTTCAGACCATAAATGATGCACAAGCTTTAATTTATGATTCATTAGTTAAACCATATTCAGCCCGACTTTTAAATGAAGATCAACTTTTGGAATTCATCCTTCAACATAAACTCGAAGCGGGAAAGTATATCAAACCTTTATATACAGCATATTTAAAACAAATGAATAAAATACATCCAGAATTAATGAAGGAGGATTGAATTCCAAAATCAAAGCAGATAAAATTAAACCACTTACAACACCAAAACCTCCAACAGTAGTACCTCCTCCTCCTTCAGTTAATCCTTCATCATTCACTTTATTATATCCATTTCAAACATTTAAGAAGCAAAAAGATTTTAAAAAGGATTTCAAGATGTTAAATAAACCAATTGACCCGAAAATTCAACCATTAAAGGAAAAATTTAGTCGCCCTTCATTTGCACCATATCCATATTCATACGAAATTGATCATCTGGAATATTCAAAAGGAAACGTTACTTATTTATTTGCCATTAACATTAACACTAGATATTTATATTGCATTCCAGTGAAAGGGAAAACAGAACAGGAAACAAGAAGAGCTATTCAATACTTACTAGATCATGAAAGAGTAGATAATATAAGGGGTGATGGTGATAAAGGATTTCAGGCAGCTATGGCTCATTATTTCCCACAAATTAATTTTTTCTTTTCATCCTCTCCATATACGTTTCATAATAAAATAGTTGATGCGGTAATGAGAACTCTTAGAGATGCGTTAGGGGTTAACGGTCAGATATACTGGGATGGAAATCATGACTCCATCATACAGCAGTTAGTATATTATTATAATAATACATGGCATAGAACTATAAACATGAAACCAGTGAAAATGAAAAATGATATTTCAAAAGAATGGGAATATATTAAAAAGCAAATGGAAAAGTTAAATGATGTTAAACGTGAACAAATTAATTCGGGGCTCATGAATTTTAAACAAGGAAATAAAGTTTTAATTCATCTCGATTATGGAAAAACTGATAAATCAATGACAAAAAGAAGACGAAGATTTGACACAATAGCTGAATTTGTTAGATATATTAACGGCAATGCATTAGTTGAAGTTGACAATAAATTAATAGAAATTCCGATTTATTTTATTACTCCATTATATTTAAATAATATTTAATTTTTTATTTCGTAAGAAAATGAGTGACAACAAAGCAGTCAAGAGTCCAGACGATGAATATAAAAAGAAACTAAACAGAATTAAATCAAAAATATGCTATTACAAAAAGAAGCCACAATGCGGTGGGGTTGAAAACGATAAAGAAATAATCGAAAAATTAGAAACTTACCGTTCAATCATTAAACTGAGTGAAGCAAAAATAAAAGAATTTAATAGAATAAATAAATTGGTTGGAAGAGATGAATTTAATAAAGATGAATTTTTAAACTCTATCCAAATTTAATTTTTATTCCTCTTCGACAACATCTCTCTTTCCATCATTACTGCATAACCACATTTTCTCAATTTTAGTGGTTTGTTATTTTTAACATGTTCTTGCATCATTTTTATCATTTCCTCCCTTGTTATGATTCGTGGTAAATTTTGAGCTTGTGGGGTATTCATTTATGATAAAAATAAAAATTTGTTATCACTTATTTTATCGTTAATGGTTTCGGGTTATTCAATAATTAATTATTTTTGAAGAACTGAAGGGGTCACCAGGTCACCAGGTCACCGGGTCACCAGGTAATTTAACTTCTCTGAAAAAATGTGACAACATGACATTTTGACAACATCATGGGTTATTCAATAATTAATTATTTTTGAAGAACTGAAGGGGTCACCAGGTCACCAGGTCACCGGGTCACCAGGTAATTTAACTTCTCTGAAAAAATGTGACAACATGACATTTTGACAACATCACAGGAGGAAGGCAAAAATAAATTCCAGTCATACTTTATAAAGCTTCATTCACAGGTATTTCATCGTCAGTAAATGATTCCTCATTATCGTTTGGTTCAATTTGTTTATATAATCCTTTCATTTCTTCTTTCAAAACATAATACCATGTTTGTTTACCATCTATTTTTCTTTGTTTCCTTTCACATTTATCCTTAATGCTCATTTGAAAGTTTTTGTCTTTCATGTCTGATGGTTTGCAGAATAGAGCATTTTTACACGTCATACCTGCACATAATTCATCATAATGTGTATTTATCCATTCATCTAAAGGATTTGTTGATAACTCGATTAAATCTTGTTTGGCTTCAGTCATCGGTATGATTCGTACATTAAATGATGAAAGGTCATATTGCATAAAATATGTTAAAAGGTTATCATAAAATTCCTTTGTGCATGAATCCATTAAATTCTTGAAGTAATCAAATTGACCCTTGAATTTACCATTAACCCTTAAAACTACGTATCTTCTGTCTCCAACTTCAATTTTGACAGGGTAGACGTTGTTAGTTACGAAAATGAAGTTTGCAACGTTCTGTGCTGTTCTTCTGGGTTGATTCTTTTCATTAATTCTAATCTCATTATCCGTAATAATTGATTTCAAAGCGTTGAAGTTTGCGAGTCTGTCTTCACCTACATTCTTGAGTTCATTAAGTACAAGAAACATTTTATTTTCAACAACTGAGTTGAAATTACCCGTTAGCTCACTTATTTCAGTAATGTTTTTACATGAATAACCAGCGAGAAGTTCAGAAATAATGTCTGTGAATCTGTTTTTACCTGTTCCCTGAAGTCCTTTCAAAATAATTGCTGTTTCATTCTTGATTCCAGGATGTTGAATCATTGATGCAATCCAGCCGAGAAGGTATTTATACACTTCATCGTTATTATCACAAATGGCTTCTTTAATGAAATCCATAAACATCTCAATTTTTGAGTAATCAGGCTTTTCAAGAATGTTGTATTTATAACCCTGAAACGTTGAGAAAACATCTGGAGAATCAGATTTAAAGCAAACACCCTTAACGGTTAATGAAGACAATTGATTTAGTAGTACATCCCATGCTGTTATGGTTTTACCTTCTTCTTTAAATAATTTAATCATTTTGAGTGACTCTTTCATGTTTGACTGAAGAACAAATGATATTTGATTCATTTTGTCGTGGATATTATAGTCCTTTTGAATGAAATATTTGTTTCCACAATCTACAAAACGGATTACACGTGATAAATCCTCAATTACTTCAGAACTGTTTTTATACTGATGATTTTCAGCCTTGCGTCTAATATCTGTTATCAAAAACGAGTCATCAAGTTTGATATCAAATGTTATTTTTGGCTTACGTAATAAAGGTAAAACATATTCATCATAATATTCCTTTTGATAAAGTTTTAGAATCTTCACCAAAACAAATGGCGAAGTCATTAAATGTGCATATCTACTACGTGCTTTTTCAAAATTACTTTTTGCATTTTCAGTTAAGCTGCAGAAGTTATAAACGTTATCGTATGCTTCATTAATTAAATGATTAGGTAACGAATTAATTGCTTGAAACAGTGTGAATAATGTAACTTCTTTTTCTAAATTCATGTTTCCACCATCATTATGTACTTCAAAATCACAGATGCCATCGACTATGCTCTGGGCAAGTTTATCGTCAATGTTTACATCTTTGTTTTCATTCATTATACTCTTTATTTCTTCGTTCTTCTGTTCAACTCTTACCTTAATATTCAAATCATTTAATATATCATTCACTGTTCTGGTTAATGTTGAATCATAACTTCCACGAATGAATGAGTATGTATTGATTGGTTCTGTTGCATTCTTTCGAACTCTTGAATCAGCCATAACCACTAATGAACGCTTTGAATCATCAATAGAAGTCATGATATCAATATCATAATCATTGCAGGAATAACATTTAATCATTCTGTTCGAGGTTGAATAGAAGAAATTAGTGTTGGCAATAAAATGTGAAGACCTCCTGATGCAGTTTTAACGATAACATCTTTATCCGAAAGTTTTGATAAAATGTCTTTTCTAACTGTTTCTTTAAGTTCATCATTGTATGATTTATTGATATCAACATCTATAATCGTTAAATTTGAAATTTTATTTACTAATAAAGCTGTACCAGTTTTCCTTCCTCTTCCTCCATCATGTTTGAGGTAGTTATGTAAATCAATCTTGTTTTCACCAATTCTTTCGTTGAGGGCTTTAGTTTCTGCCACAACTAATTCCTCAGCTAATGAATCAATAACTTGTTCATCAGAAATGATATAGTTGCTGTTGCTGTTGCTGTTGTTTGTTGCTGTCATTTATATAGGAATAAAAAAATAAAAATAATTTTAAAACTAACTTTATTTTTGGGTTGCATTATATTTCCAGGACTGTTGTCAAAATGTCATGTTGTCTCATTTTTTCAGAGAAGTTAAATCACCTGGTGACCTGGTGACCTGGTGACCCCTTCAGTTATTCAAAAATAATTAATAAATACCTTCCTCATTAATCCCACTATGTTGTCAAAATGTCATGTTGTCTCATTTTTTCAGAGAAGTTAAATGACCTGGTGACCTGGTGACCCGGTGACCCCTTCAGTTATTCAAAAATAATTAATTATTGAATAACCCGAAACCATTAACGTAAACATATATTTCTGGTCGTTTATGATAAAAATAAATGGTTCATTTACTCACAATATTTTTGTACAGAATGACCCCAAACTTTTAACTTCTTTTCTGCAGCTTCAAATGCTATCTTAGCGAGTTCATATTCTCTAAATTCTCTCTTTAAATCTTCTTGTTCCCATTGGTCTAGTTCGTATGGAGAATCTCTATAACCATAACATATCTCACGTTCATGTTCTAATTGTTTTTCACACATTTTTCCAACTTCTTCTTCAAACAAATGTTTAGCATTTTCTACTGTATCTTCGAGTTCTTCTTCATCTAATTTCTCATGAACTTTCTTGTCTATGGAGTCCATAATTTTTCCAACTGCTATGCAATATTTTGGAGAAGCCCACATTGCTATATAGTTTATAAGTCTTGGGTCTACATACGTTCCTCTAACCTGTTTGATTTCATCAGGAATTCCCGCATGAATTTTGTATAAAAACCAACCGTCGGAATTCCGGCGGTTGCTATATTCTTCACAAAATGCCTTATAATACTCTTCCCAGGACTTATTTTCCAACAGCTTTCTAAAGTCTTTCCTAAACTGCTGACACATCTTTGTTGCATTAATGTAACCATCCTTGTCTCTGCGTAAGACTTCAATATCGTTATAAGTGCCTTTCGTGAATGTTTCGCCATTAGATTTGTTTGTGAATGTTTTTGCTTCGACTGACATTTCTGTTCTTACATACAAAATAAAAAAATAAATAAAAATAATTTTAAAACTAACTTTATTTTTGGACTGCATCATATTTCCAGGACTGTTGTCAAAATGTCATGTTGTCACATTTTTTCAGAGAAGTTAAATGACCTGGTGACCACCTGGTGACCCGGTGACCTCATCAGTTATTCAAAAATAAATAATAACTGCCTTCCTCATTTCCCACTATGTTGTCAAAATGTCATGTTGTCTCATTTTTTCAGAGAAGTTAAATGACCTGGTGACCACCTGGTGACCCGGTGACCTCATCAGTTATTCAAAAATAAATAATTATTGAATAACCCGAAAACATTAACATTAACATAAACATTAACATAAACATTAACGTAACCATTAACGTAAACATTAACGATAAAATATATTTCTGCAGTTCATCCATTACTTCATTACCTAATTAATTACAGACATAAAATATATTTAGTTCATTCAATAAATGCGGTACCATGCGAATACAGTCATAAATGGTGGCATATAATCTTCACCCAAGCCTGTTGGATTTGTTGTGAAAGTATGGACATGATTTCCTCCTGGTTCAGTTGGTCGAAAAGTCTTTTTTGCCGAATGGTTATAATCTGGAGATAAAACGTCATTGCCAGCATAATATTCCGAGTTGTATAATGGATGGTCTCTTAATGAGTGGCTATGGTCGCCAGAAAAGTTTGTAGTTCCCGTATGAGTGTGCGGTGGAAGGTTTGCTTCTTTAATTTTCTTCGAACCACCTGTTTCCTTTGAAGAGTTTGCACAATACAAAAACCTGTCAACTATTTGTTCCCATGCACCAAAACCCAGAACTGTTGCGGGATTTGTTGAATTCATTGACGTATATATAGAACCAATGGGGTAAATCATCTCAAGAATTGTATTTAATCCATTATGAATATTGAATTTATTATATAATATTGAATTTGGGTGAGTATTTAAAACTAGTCTTGTTATCAATATTAACGTATTATTTTTGAAAATTGCTTTTCTAACATCTTGAAATTTTGTGATTTCAGACCAGTTTCTTCCATCACTACTGATATTTACTAAATCACCACATCCTAAAGCAATGAAATACCCATCAATATAAAATAAATTAGTAAATCTATAATTTCGAGTAAGTTTTGGAGTGAATGAATAAACCAATTCCCAATTTGATAAATCTTTGATAAATAAATATGTCTGTTATAACTTACAGGATATGAATAGACCATTTCACCTGAAACGAGAACATAAACATTTGATCCATAACATAAAGCTTCAATGTCTCCATCAGCTTGAAAAATTTGTTCAAATTGACCTTGTGGTATTGAAGATGATCTATAAATTTTATCATTTTGTAGGATAAAATACATGCTGTTAATGTAATACCACTTACTTGTATAATCAATTTTCAAATCTGATGACATCATACTAAACATATAATAATTTATCCCATCCTCACTAATGAAAATTTGATTGACTTCATAAATTAGTACCCATTTATTATTAACGCATCTAATAGGATTATTTGGAAATTTAAATTTAGCATCTTGATTTAAATTACATTTGAACCATTGGATACAATCGAATGAATAACAAGGGCAAAAATCATCTCCAACCGTTATCATTCCCATAAATTTACCGTTATTATATTCAACATATAAAATTCTTGGATTAATGATTGGCTTTCGTGTATCAGGATTCCAAACAGATGGAGTAAATGATTCATAGTTTTTAAAATCATTTGTTTTAAAATAATAAAGCACTCCACCTATATAAAATAAATACATGGTCACTCCATCGAAACATATCCATTCAAAAGAATCTATATCAAAGGTTTTATCTGATGATTTCATAAAATTTAAAAATGGTGGAGTAAAATAGACCTCTGATTGTTTTATTTCTTCATTAACAAATGATATATCAGCTTTCTTTGCTAACTCAGTATTAATGAATGAAATAACTTTTTCCTTATCTGCCTTCTTCTCTAACTCACTAGTCACATAAGTTTTATCCGCTTTAAGGTCTAAACATCCTGAAACCCATCCTGTATCAGCTTTAGTTTTTAAAATCTTTGATGTCCATTCATGATACCATTCAACCATTTCTTTAATTTCATTATCTTTTTCATTAACATATTCCTTATCTGCCTTCTTCATTAATTCACTAGCCATAAGTCCCTTATCTACCTTCTCCTCTAACTCACTAACCACATATTCCTTATCTGCCTTCTTCATTAACTCACTGTTGACATATTCCTTATCTGCTTTCTTCATTATGTCGTTTAGGAAACCTTTTATGAA